ACACACCCCCCTCCCCTGCGGGGTACTTCGTCTCAACCCTCTATGAAATTCATTTTTCATCTTGAGGACAATGGGGCAGCCCCACGGGAGGCCAGGACAATACCGCCGATAAGGATCTGGGAGGCTTCCTTCATCACGGAGAAAAACGCTTTCATCCCCAGTACAGCACAGGCATGGCAAATCCCAGCGGGGTGACCTCCGGCCGCCCGGGCGCTTCTAAATCACGCGGTGCCTGCGGCTTCCGGGGTTCAAAGCACATGGAGCCTTGGGAATCTTCAAAGGATGGAGATTCACTTGTTTATGATAAAAACAAAACGAGATAAAACGGCAGCTCGACCTTCATCCTTCCCGGGCAGTGGTGGGGCCACGGGCAGTTAGGAGCCGATGTCCAGCCTCCCCGGGGTCTCCTTCTTGAAGGAGACTCCAGCTCGTCACCTGGTCTTCTCTGCCTTTATCTCAATGCTTTGGGTTCGGGTGGATCTGCGGTTATACGGCTGTTACCCCAAAACCCCAGTTTGTCCACATGACGGCGTGTCCCCAGGAGAATGGCTGCTCCTTGTTGGTGAGGTTGAGCGTTTCTCTCCCTTCTGCATCACACGCTCCCAGCCTTTGGGGCTTGCAAATGTCTGTCTCTCCAACGACAAGATTTCAGCCTCGGTGGTGAAGTAGTAACTTTCAGAAAGATGCAGCCCAGCTCCACTCAATGCCCGAGTGTGGTCAACAGTGCACCCGTATTTCCACCACCTTAAGGGTGGCACAGATGTTTAAGTGCTCGAGTACTAACCGAAAGGTTGGGGGTTTGAACCCACCTAGAGGCGCCTTGGAAGAAAGGCCTGGCGATCTGCTTCCGAAAGGTCACAGCCATTGAAAACCCTATAGAGCAGCTCTACTCTGATACACGTGGGGTTGCCAGGAGTCAGAATCGACTCAAAGGCACCGGGTTTAGCTTTTTTTTTGAACCCAATCCTTTACACTTTGGGACATTTCCTTTGTCGTCCTCCTGAGAAAATACGGCTCGCGTTTGTGGGGCCGTTTGCAGTTGGCATATTGCTCGTGTTCACATGTTCTCAGCAGTGCTGAACTCACCACAGGCCCTGAGGACTAAGGCCCGAGGCATCAAGGACAGAAGCAAAGTGATTTCCCCTGGGCCCTGGGGCCAGGCCGCAGCTTTCAGTACTTAGGAAACCCATAAAGACCAAAGCTACAGAGGGGCCCTGGGACCTACGGAGCACTTCGGTTTGTTCTTATTGTGGTAAAATACCCATAACAGAATCCATTTCTGAAATCATGGAGGCTGGATGAACCCCTGAAACTTTTGCCCTAAAATAACCTTTAAACCTTAAACCAAAAACATCCCCTGAAGTCTTCTTAAAACCAAACAATAATTGAACTTAGCTAGTAAAGAATGTCAGCCTTGAGCATTGGGCCCTTTTCAGATCCATCTAAATGAGATCCAATTGACAACAGCAACCCAAATGATGAGCTAGGAACCTTCGGGGGCAGTGAGTTTATATTAACGGGGGAAGAACAGTTCGGAAGAGGAGAGTGAGAATAGCTGCCCAACTGGAAGAATGTCATCAATGTCACTGAAAATCGTACCCACAGAAATTGTTGAACTGGCGTATGTCCTGCTGCGTATATTCTCAATAACAACAAAAACTAAAACAAATTATAAAAAAGAGAAAAATTCCCGTCACATAAAATTTACCACTTTATCCATTTGAAAGTGTACAATTCGGTGGCATTTAGGACATTTACAGTGTTCAGCTATCACCTCTGTCTAGTTCCAGATCTTTCTCATCACCCCAAAAGGAAACCCCGTACCCAGGAGCTGTCACCATCCCCCCCCCCGGCCCCAGCCCCTGGCAATCACCAGCCTTCTTTCTGTCTGTGGATTTGCCTGTTCTGGATGTTGTACAGAAACGGAACCACACAGCACGTGGTCTTTCTCTCCCCAGTGCTGCGGGTTGATCCGTGTTGGAACACGTATCAGAGCTTCGTTCCCTTTATGGCTGAATTATATCCCGGTTTCTGGATACACCAGCCTTTCTTTATGCATTCAGCGCTTGACACACAACACCCGGGTAGTTTCCACACGTTGGCTGTTGTGAACCGTGCTGCTGTGGACTTCCGTGTACCAGTTATTGTTCGAACACCTGTTTTCCATTCTTTCGGGTGTGTTAGGGATTGAATTGTGTCCCCCCTCCCCCAAATACGTATTGTAAATCCTAGTGGTTAGAATCCCATTTGGGGAATGGGTTGTCTTTGTCATGTTAATGGTGCAGGATTAGCGTAGGGTGTGTTTTGAGTGAATCTCTTACAAGATATAAAAAGCAGATTAGGACAAGCAAAAAAGCAGAGACGGGGTAAGATGGATAGGATAAATTAGATGTCAAGACACGCGGAGATCTCCATGGAACTAGGAAACGGAAGCTGAAGAGACAAGGACCTTCCCCCAGAGCCGACAGAGAGAGAAAGCCTTCCCCTGGAGCTGGCGCCCTGAATTCAGACTTGTACCCTCCTAAACTGTGAGAGAATACACTTCTGTTTGTTAAAGCCCCCAGCTTGTGGTGTTTCTGTTATAGCAGCGCTAGAGGACTAAGACAGGGTGTGTATCTACGACTGGAATTGTGGTTACAAGCCCAGCTGCTGGCTCGAATCCACCAGCCGCTCCTTGGAAACCCTTTGGGGCAGTTTTTCTCTGCCCTGCAGGGTCGCTAGGAGTCGGAATGGACTCGACGGCAGCGGGTTTGGTTTTTGTTTTTTATGCTAATCCCGTGTTGCATGTTTTGAGGCATCACCGCGCTGTTTTCTGCAGTGACTGCACCACCTTACCTGCCCGCCAGCCATGGGTGAGGGTTCCAGCTTCTCCACATTCTCTCCAACACCTCTTGTTTTCCACTTTCTGATAATGGCCGCCCTCGTGGGTGTGAAGTGATACCCCACCGTGGGTTTGTAGGAGAGGGGGGTATATGGGAATCCTCGGTACTTTCTGGACAATTTTTCTATAAACCTAAAACTGCTCTAAAAACTGAAGTCTGTTTTAAAAAACGGCAATCCCTAGAAGTAACATTTACTCTAAGAGACTCAAGTACCACTTCAGATCTGCTCAGGGCATGGCTGAAGAAGGGATTACGGAATAAGAAGATGGAAATAAGAAAAAAATATATCAGCCCAGTGGTCTAAGGGTCTGCTAGGCGGGCCTCTGGCCACTACCCTGGGGGGGTGGAGCCCCCCCCAGGTGGCACCGTTTTCGTGCCCAACTGTGAATGAAAGGTTCGTGGTTCAAGTCCATCGAGAGGTGCCTTGGAAGAAAGGCCTGGTGATCTGCTTCCGAATAATCAGCCATTGAAAACCCTATGGAGCACAGTTCTGCTCTGACACGCAGGGGGTTGCCATGAATTGGAGTCGACTTGACAGCAACAGTGTTTCTCTTCCTCCCGTTGGGGCCGCCAGCTGGTCGGGGGCCATCCTGTATGAAGACATGTGTGTCCCCCTCTCAGCGTCAGCGGCTGGAGGTCAGTTAGTGGCTGATGGCCCTTGGGGTGTTCGAATGCTCAGACGGGAATCCTGGCACCGCAGCACGGCTTCCTGGGGAGGCTGAGCTCACCGCCCTGCTTCTCCCCACACCCTGCTGAGGGCACAGTGCCTTCACCCCTCCATTTCTGCTCCTCGCATGCGACTGGGAGCCTGCCGAGCCAGATTCTCAGGGGCCCAGATGAGCACACGAGGTCCCTGCTACCCAGAGCTCACAGTCACTCCTGGGTGTCTGTCATTCATTCGTTGGGCCATTCATTCATTCAGCAAGTCCAGATTGAGCGCCAACCAGGGCAGGCCCTGTTCCAGGGGCCAAAGAGAGGGTGGGGGGCCAGGCCGACATGGCCCCTGCCCTGGGGGGCTCAGTCAGCCTCCACCCCAGGACTGGAGGACAGAGGTGGGGTCTGGTCAGCCCCCGGCAAAGTCACTGAGCCTCAGATACAGATGTCCCCTGCTCTCCCTCATGCGCTTAGCCACACATGACCCCCCCCCCCGCAAAGGATCCAACGTTACAAACCAAAAACCTCTTGCAAGAGAAAAGCAGTAAACTTTTCCAAATTTTCTCTCCTTGTCTGTGGCGCTTGCCCCAAACACGAGCTAGATGATGTAAATATTATTTCGTCCTAATTAATAACACTTGGCACCCATTCCTGGTGGATGCCCTGGCCGGGGACGTTGGGGATGGGGCCCGCCAGTGTCACCAGGCAGGAGCAGGAGCCCCCTGCCGCGGCTCAGAGGGGCACGAGGCAGAAGCAGCCTGAGGAACGGGGTGCCTCGAGCTTTGCACTGCTGCCTTCCATGCCTGGGGGAGGGAGGGATGGGTTCCCTGGCTCACCCCGCAGACTTCTGGGTACCTCCTGGTGCCAGGGCTGGGCAGGCGCTGGGCCTGCAGACCAGGTAGACAGTGGCCAAGGCTTTGAGCAGAGCGCTATGCTACATTTCACGCTGAATGCACGTTTTTGCATTAAGCCCTCACCAGAGCCCACGAGGTCGGGATCATTACTCTCCGTATGTGACAGCTGAAGACACTAAGCCCAGGGTCCCACGTCTGTGCCCAGGGGTGGAATCTAGCCCCTTGGAGGGGGACTTCCCCACCATGCTGGGAACCCCAGCTCTACCTTCCCAGCTCTTGGTGGCCCAGAGGAGGTAATGCGGGTGTGACTGGGTCGGGGCTGCCCGCCGGGCCCAGAGCCCCCGTCCCTAACAGACCTGGGCTCGGGCCTGCTGTGCTCAGTGTGAATGGGTTATGGGGCCCCCCAGTCTGAGCGGATTGTAGGATACCCTGGTCTCAGTGGGTCATGGGGTCCACAGGTGTGAGCAGGTCACAGGGCCCCCTGATGTGAGTGGATTACGGGGTCTCCAGTCTGAGGGGATGCAGGGTCCTCCATCTGAGCAAGGTCGTGGGATTCCCCGTCTGAGCAGGTTGGGGTGCCCTGTCTGAGCGGGTTGCCCTGTCCCCACAGGAGATCGTGCTGGTGGTCTTCTTTGGCACGGAGTACGTGGTGCGTCTCTGGTCGGCCGGCTGCCGCAGCAAGTACGTGGGCATCTGGGGGCGTCTGCGCTTTGCCCGGAAGCCCATTTCCATCATCGGTGAGTCGCACCTCTCAGGACTGGGGACTCTGGCCGGGGGGCCACCACAGCACAGCACCATCACCAGGTAGCTCCTGCCTGAGGCCTGAGACCCCAGGCTGCTCCCCTGGGATGGGCAGGCCGCTGGCAGGGGGACCACCCAGGGCGCCCAGCTCTGGGCACATTGGGGCTCTTGTGGCTGTACTTGAGAAGCTGCCTGGGGGCCTGGTCGGGCCCACTCAGCACCCAGGAGCCTCTGATGGCCTGTGTGCCAGGGCCCGTGGTGGGCGCGGTTTCCTCTGTCCCTTCTCAGAGCGGGACCTGATCTGGCTCCCCCTCCACAAGGTGTCTCCATGTCCCCCGGTCCTGGGGCCCTCCTGGGGCAGGGTGGGGCCGTGCTCCCCCAGGCCCCCCACCCCCACTGGCCTGTGGTGCCATGACCATTGTCCCCTCTGTCCCTGCAGACCTCATCGTGGTGGTGGCCTCCCTGGTGGTCCTCTGCGTGGGCTCCAAGGGACAGGTGTTCGCCACCTCAGCCATCAGGTAGGCCTGGGCTGCTGGGAGCACCAGCACCCTGCAGCCCCTTCTCTCGGGCTGGGGTGCTGCTGCCCTGTAGACAGATGGACATGACAGCTCCAGCGGCTGAGCAGACAGCACAGGAATGGGGTGCACCCCGGATGGGGGTGGGCCTGGGTGAACAGGGAGCTGGATCCATGGGGCGACCCCTCCCCTGACCAGTCACTAGCCTGTCCTCCGTGAGCACCATGGTGGCATCAGTTGGCCCCGGCCGTGCATGCCCAGGTATTCAGGCTCCTGGGGCCTGGCCGCGCCAGCCCCGCCCCTCATTTCGGCCATCAGCCACTCCCTCACCCCCAGCTCTGTAAGGTGGGCGGGCCGCTCTGTCTGGCAGGCAGTAGGGGGCTCTGTGAGGCTGGTCTCTGACTCGGGTTCGCCCCCCTCGGAGGCAGCCCCCTTCCCATTCCGCTCCCCGGCTGGAGATCCAGCCCCTAGGTTACTAGCCAAGTCTGGGTGACTCCGTCTTGTCTGCGGACTGGGTGTGATCCCAGAGCCTCCCCAGGGGGCCCTCTGAGGCCTGTGGGAGCGTGGGAAGGTGGGCTTAGTGCAGTGGCTGGACCCTCAGGTCAGGGAGGGGAGGACGCAGCGCGGGTTAGAAGCTTTGAGCAGTTCCCTGGGGCCGGGGGCGGCCCTGGGAGCAGAATTCAGAGGCACCTGAGCAAGGTGCGAGTCCAGGTGGTGGGTGAGGATGGGTACACCCCGCCATCTCCCACCAGCCGTCTCCCACACCTCGCCTCCCCATCCCCCCCGCCCCCTCCGCAGGGGCATCCGCTTCCTGCAGATCCTAAGGATGCTGCATGTGGACCGCCAGGGAGGTACCTGGAGGCTGCTCGGCTCTGTGGTCTTCATCCACCGCCAGGTGGGCGCCCGGGAGATATGACAGAGGGGCAGGGCGAAGGGCGGGGCGGGTCAAAGGGCGGGGTGGGCCCAGGGTGCGAATGGGGGGGCGGGGCGAAGGGCAGGACAAACACAGACCGAGGCTCCCCTTGATCTCTGCCAGGAGCAGTGCAGGGTCTCGGCTTCCTGGACCCCGCCAGGCAACTCAGGTGCAGGAAGCCATCCCAGGGTCTCTGTGCCCAGGCTGTGACGTGCCCACGTCCCTTCATGCCCAAACAAAAAAACATCAGGCAAATAAAATGACAGAAATGCCAGACAGGAAGCAGTCCTCGAGGCTCAGAAATCCCAACCAGACGGACAGACAGTGAGGGTGGGGCACCAGCGGCCTTTCCCGGGCCGCCCTGGAGCCAGCTTGGCTCCGCGGGAGGAGAGGGCCATCCCCTGCTCGCAGAGGGTCCCCGGCCCACTCTCGGGCCCCTCGTGTAGTGAGCGAGTGGGGTACGTGTGGTCCATGAGCACCATGCAGACGAGCCCTGGTTCCCGGGTGCCAGAAGTCTCTTGAAGTCCGATGGCTGCGTGCGTGACACGGTGCGTGATGTGAAACTACGTGGCAGATAATTGGATTTGCTGCAGGGCCATCTCCGCCCGCTCTGAGGTGTCTTGGGAGTGCCACTGGCCTGGTTGGGACACCCGGCTGACCGCTGCCCCCCCCCCCGCAGGAACTGATCACCACCCTGTACATCGGCTTCCTGGGTCTCATCTTCTCCTCCTACTTTGTGTACCTGGCCGAGAAGGACGCCGTGAACGAGTCGGGCCGCGTCGAATTCGGCAGCTATGCGGACGCGCTGTGGTGGGGTGTGGTGAGTGGCGTCCCCAGGCTGGTGGGCCCGGAGCTGGCTCGGTCCACACCCCACAAGGCTCTAGCTTCTCCAGACTTTCTCCCTCACTGGGGGTTCCCACCGGCCGCGGGCTGTGCTCAGAACCCCAAACACTGATTCACACGTGGAGCCATAGACCCCGGGGCCTGGCAGACACATGGCTTGAAGGCCCCCGCTGAGGTTAATGCTCTGTGGGTCTGTCTGGAAGTTCTTAATACTTTTATCTTTGAACTTTAAACAACAACAACAAAATAGTTTAGCTCCACATTTTCCTTCGCCCAGCCCCTGATAACCCCTAATCCTTTCTGTCTCTGTGGGCTTGCCTGTTCTAGATGGTCTGTATCAGCGGGATCATATGCTGTGTGTCCTTTCCCATTTGGCCCATTTCACTCAGCATGGTGTCTTCAACGTTCACCCCTACCCACAGGGGCTGCCCAGGAGGCAGGCCCACAGGGAGAGGGGTAGCTGGCCCTGGGGTCTCCAGCCCATGGTCCCCTGCACGGAACTCCACCCAGAGCCACGTCCTCTGGCAAATGCCCTTCTGCTGAGGCTAGCTGTCCCCGTGCCCAGGCCGGCCCTGCAACCCCCTCTCCGAAAACACACCCCTTCCTGGCCTCCAACCCTTGCTGAGGAAACCACAGTTGGCACACTAGGTGTTAACCTCCAAAATCAAAACCAGTCATGTCGGGGTCCCCCTGGGGACTGCGGGCTGCGGGCTCAGGAAGTCTGCCTTGACATGGTGGGGTTGGGGGCTGGGGTGTCTCAGCTCAGACAGGCAGACCGACAGTGGATGGGGCTGTGGGCAGGCTGCTGAGCTGCTCCGTGCCGCAGTTTCCCTGCCTGTGACTCCCCAAGAGGCCATTGCAGGGTCGTAAACGATGAGTGAACAGTGCGAATCTGGGGTGTCTGAGGGGGTGACTGGGGCCTTGCTCCAGGCCGCGGGCAGTGTCTCTCAGGACTGAGCCGAGGAGCCTGGGTCGAACGGGGGCCATGGGCTGCTCTCTGCACCCCCCTAGCATGCCACTGAGAGCCTCTTTCCCGACCCTTACCCGCTCTGGGGGGGCAGGGCAGGGCAGGACTTGGACGGGTAGGGAGTGGGCTGGTTCTGCTTGTTGGCGGAGATCGCCCTGGACTAGCTGAGCACCCCCACAACCCCACCTGAGTCTCCTGGGAAGGCGGGCCTGGCACTTAACTGCACCGGGGACATTGGCCGGGACTGCACGGGGGCACCCCACAGGGGAACAGTGTCCTTGTGGCCCTGTGGCAGCCTGGTGTGGGCATGCCAGGTGGTCAGAGCAGACTGGCCACGGGAAGGCTTTCAGCCCGGTGGGCGTTGAGGCCCAGGCTGGCTCAGCCGTTGGGAAGGACTGCGGTAATGCAGAGCGGGGCTGGGGCTGGGGAGGAGGCCCTGCGTGGTTGAGGGGGGCCGAGGCCCTGGGGCAGGGTGGGGGCTGAGAGGCATGAGACAGGGTGGGCGGACAGCTGTGGGGGCCACCGCCCTGGTGGGGCCCTGATCCCGCCAAAGGCCCTGTGTGTCTCTCCCTGGAAGCTCCTTCCGGAAAGGAAGGGCCTTCATCTCTCTTGAGTCTCCTCCACCCTTGAGAGGAGGCAGGAGGGGAGGGCTGTTCAGGGGTGTGGGGCAGGGGCTGTCTGAGCGCATGGGGCACAGGGCAGGGGACCGCTCAGGGTGTGAGGTGAGGGCTGTCCAAGCCCACAGGGTGGGGGCAGGGGCCAACCCCCGGCCCCTTGCTCATGCAGGGCCCCAGATGACGGCTGAGTCAGTGAGTTTTCTGGAAGCTTCTAGTGTGCTGGATGGCTTAGGGAAGGCAGGACACACTGACCCCGCCCAGGCCAGAGACACCCCAGTTTCAGCCTCCCCCCACCCATGCTAGCCTGCGCTCGAGGCCCCAGAGCAGCAGCTGGGACGGTCTGGGCGGGAGCTGGCCCGTGGTGGCAGTGGGGACGCGTTCTGGGGACAGGCCTGTGTGGAACAGCCAGCCCAGAGCCAGGAGAGGTCCCGGGGGGCTGTGGCGAGCTTGGCAGCTGCCTGGCCTGCTTTCCCGGCCACAGGGAGCCTCGTGGAGCGGAGGCTGCCCCCTGCCCTCATGGTACCACGCTCCAACCCCCCACACCTGTGCAAACATCCGCCGACAGCCGGGAACACGGCCCCTTTGTGTGGCCTTGGCATCAGGGACTGTGCGCCATCAGCTGCAGCCCGTGCCCGGCCCCAAGCATCCGCCACCATTGTTCGTGCCGAGCCTGCACCCTGGCCGCCCTGCCCACTGCCCTGTCGCCCAGCCCACCTCAGGGCCAGCAGCTCCATTCACAGCCTCAGCCGCCCTGCAGCTGGCCGGGGGAGCGGCCAGGGCTCGAGTTAGGGGATGTGTTCCTGCCGCTTCCAGGACAAATGCAGCTCAAGGAGCACGGACGGGGTGGCTGGGGGCATTTTCAGGCTGACTGGACGATGGGTAACCTCGAGCTAAGCCCCTGGCGCCCAGGTTGGGTGTGGACAGTTTCCTTTGTCCGAATTTGTCCGTGCCACCACAGGTGGGGCCCGATGATCCTGTTGGGGGCAGAGGCGGGTCTGCGTGACCGGCATGGCTGTGAGGGGCACCCAGCAGGAGGGTCACTGTAACCCCTACGTCGGGTGTGCCCCAAGCCTCATTTGGTCTCCAAACCCCGTGGCCCCAGGGCATGGGATGGAGGACGAGCCAGGAGTGGAGCCCTCCCCTCTAAGATGGGTGAGATAAACCCTAAAACGGGGTATTAGGGCTGCAGAGGGCAGGGAGAAGCTGCCCACCACTGTCCCCTGGGAGAACCTTGGTGAGCCCGCACCGGGGCTGTGTGACAACGAGCTTAGTGCCCCCGTAGGGCAGGGGGGCCTCTCAGGCGGCCCGGGTCCTTGCGTTGGTGCCCAGTGGTGTGTGTCCAGCGTTTGCCTGCAGAGTGGTGACTGCCCTGTGGCCCGCCGGCCACATCCCTCATAGGAAAGTCCCTCCCCAGCTAGGGGGTTCCAGCCCCACTCTGCCCCTGACTCGGGGGCTTTGGGCACAGCCCCTCCCCCCAGCCTTGGTTTCCACAGCCGTCAAGGTGCGGCTCCAAAGACTGAGTGTTCCCCCACTAGTTAGCGGCAGCCAGTTGTGGGGCTGACTCGGATGTGAAATCTCGCTGGTCCCCCAGCGTGGCGCCCGGAGCCTGGCCGCCAGGGTGTTTGGGCGGGGGTGGGGTGGGTGTGTGTGTTTCAGACACTTTTCTTGCCCTTGGAACAAAGTGCGCTTGTTTGTGGGAAGGTGTGAGCAGGGAAATGCTGCTCCATACACGGGCTGCTCTGTGTGGGTGTGGGGGTCTGTAAGACGAGGCTCTGGGCTGTGTCCTCACCCCCCACCTAAATGGAGTGTTTGGAGCGGAAAGGCCGGAGCCTGTCCCTCTAATTAAGCCACCATGTGAGACGGAGCAAGTTCTGGTCCACTCCTACCCGAAGGAGGTTCTGGAAGGTTCCAGCCTTCCAGGCTGTACTGCATCCAGACAGGCTGAGGGCCAGGCTTCCCAGACATTCCCACTCAGGCCCCATCAGCCCCGCCTAGTGTGTGGGGCCAGCGTCAGGACCTCACTGAAGCAAGGGAAACCGAGGCCCGTGGGCCAGGACGTAGCAGAACCAGGCCGTACCTCCCCCCACCTTAGTTCAGGGCTTTCCTCTGCTCAAGCTCCCTGCAAAGACCCCAGGCCCCTGCCCACCTGGGCACGGTCCTTCCTCATCTGTGGACCACTGGCTACGGGGATAAGAAATGTGGGCTTGGGGCCCAGCCAGAGCCCCCTGAGGAGGGCATTTAAAGGTGGGTTTTGTAGGATGAGTAGGAGCCCACAAAGCCGGTTCATCTCTCCGTACTTAATGCCCATGGCGAGGCTTGGACCCTGTGATGGGTGCAGCTGCCTCTTAGCCAGTTCCTCTCGGGCCCCTCCCTCTACCCAACTCCCTTTTGCGGAGCTGCCTCTTCCATGCCCCAGCCTGCTCCCCCCTCCACCTGCGTAGATCTTGTCTTCTCTGGGAGGGGACCGATGATGCTGGAGGGGGAGGCCAAGGTGAGCAGAACCGGCCCTGCCCGGGGGGCACTCCTTACATGCAGGGTCGGGGGGCAGAGGGATTAATGCAATCTCAGGGCTCAGCAGAGGAATTTTGAAGGATGGATAGAAGGTTGCCAGTGACCAGCAATGAGGGCATTCGGGGTGGAGGAACAGACTGTTCACGATCAGGGAGGAGTGACCGTCCCTCAGAGGTCACAGCCCTCTGTGGTCAGCTCCCTGCTCCAGCGTCCAGGCTGTGGGGGCTATTGGGAGCTAGGGCTGGGTCCCGGCCCGCTCAGGCTGGCCCGGTGGCATGGACAAATGAACAGTGAGTGAGCCAGCCCTCCAGGGCCGCTGCACTCTGAGCCCCCAGGGCTGTGAGGTCACTGCCTGGGACTTGCTTCCCCTGTGAAGTGGCCCCGTCCTGTGTGCACAGGGCCCCCCAGAGCAGGCAGCTGCGGCCCAGGCCCACAACATGGGGCACAGACCCGGCCAGAGAGGACAGCTGCAGATAAGGGGCGCAGATGCCCCAGACCCCTTACCTGTGGCCCGCTGCGGGGGTCCCGGCATTTGCTCCCCGAGTGTGTGGCCCGCCTTGCATGTGCTGTGCAGGCGAGCATGCCAGTGAGCACTGGGCTGGGACGTGGGCACCGCCGTGCTCCTCGGTGGCCACGTGCCGTGTGTGTGTGCGAGCATGTACACACGTGGTGTGCTCATCTGCGTGAGGTGCGTCTGTGAGCGTGCGCCCACGCACGCACGACTGGGGTGGTCCATTCGCAGGGCCCGGCGCTCACTGGCCTGAGCGTAACTGGGTGGACGTGTGGGCATTTCCAGCGCAGTGAAGCGGCAGGGGCCTGCTCCACACAGGCGGGTGTGGGAGATGGCGTGAGGGGGGCTGTTGTGGGCGGCGTGGGGGCTGGGGCCGTGGCCAGGCCCCAGCAGTGGCCCGTCCTGGAGCATTTTCCCAGCCACAGCAGCTGAAATTAGTGCTTGCACTTCACAGCATACTAAGGTGCTCTGCGGTATAGTTCAGTTCCTGTGACAGGTCCCTGTACTGCCCCACGCTGCACCTCTGCTCCAGGCCTGCCCAGCACCCCCGTGTGCCTGTCTTGTCCATGTGTCCCTCCTTCCTCCCTCCCTCCACCTGGTGGCCAGTGGACAGCAAGGGGCAGCGAGGGTCCAGGGTCTCCTGGGAGGCCCCAGCGGGCCGGGGGTCACCGCTTCCGTTGATCTGTTTGGTGGGCCCCTGCCGTCCCCCATGCTCTTGCTGGCCTCAGCTGGAGTGGAGGCCTCTAAGGGCCAGCCAGCGGCCGATTCCCACTTGGTCCTGATCAGCGGCCCCAGGGAGGCGAAGCCAGGCCTGGCAGAGCGGGTGTCCAGGGGCTGGAAGGGTCGGGGGTGGCTGAGCTCCAGCTGAGACTAACTGTGGCCCATGTGGCAGGCCTCCCTTTTGGGTGACCTGGGCTGAGCTGGCTGTCCGGCGTTCGGGCGGGAGTGAGCAAGGCCCCAGAACAAGACGAGGCTCCACGGACATACAGCAGGCGACCCGCGGGCGGCAGGCTTGGGATGCAGGCAGGGCCTCCGGGCTGCAGCTGGCACAGCCGGGTGGGCTCGACCTCTGCAAAGCGCCACCTGGGACTCTCCTGGGACCCCGGGGAGCAAGCCTCAGATGAGAGTGGGCGGCCCCTCGCTCCATTGTCCCAGCACATGCCCTGGACGGCCAGACGGGCTGACAACTCCCCCACTGAGAAGGAGGGTCGGGCTGCATCTTGTTCTCTGGGGAAAAAGGAAACGAAGCGTCTGGTGCCCTGGGTGGCTTCGGGAAGTGGTGTGTCATCCCGTCCCTGCCTGTGTCGGCGGCCTTGCTGGGAGCTCCAGCCCCCTGGGGTTCATGCGGCGATGCTGGTGGCCCAGGTGCCAGCCCCAGGGGTATGGGCCACCTCGGTGCCAGGCCGGCCCCCTGCGAGGCCGCCCGGAGCCCCCACGCTCCATCAGCGCAGGCTGCTTGTGCCGCGTCCCTGCCTGTGGGCTCGGCGGGCTCCGCACAGAGGAGAGTCGGAGACCCACCGAAGCCCCCTCCTGCCCACAGGCCTCCGCTGAGGGGCGCAGGGGCCGGCCTGGCACACAGACCCAAGCTGGGCCTCCCTGGGTCTCGGGCGGGCTCTCCAGCCTCGGGCAGCTGACTGTGGCCTCTCCCCCCTAGGTCACTGTCACCACCATCGGCTACGGGGACAAGGTGCCCCAGACGTGGGTCGGCAAGACCGTCGCCTCCTGCTTCTCCGTCTTCGCCATCTCCTTCTTCGCGCTCCCCGCGGTAGGTGCGGCCGGGACGTGCGCGCTCCCGGCTCCCCGCCCCGCCTCTCCAGAGCCCCGCCCCGGGGCAGACCGACCTCTGGTAGAATCTGCTCCCCGCTGGGGGCCTTGGGGGCCACCCCTCCTGCCCACCCCTGGGGTCCTTAGCAAGTGGGAGCAGCATCCCGGCCTCTGTCAATATACCGAGGCCCCCCAACCCTTCTCGGCACACAGGAGAGGCAAGGCCCGCGGCCCAGCCCCAGGGCGGCCCCCCGAGGGCATCAGTGTTCCCAGTGCGGGGAGGCCCTGAGAGAGCCAGGGGTCCTGAGGGTGAACCCCTGTACATGGGCCCTTCCAGAAATCACAGCCCAGACGGTCATAATCTTCCGGCTTACTGTGTGTCATCTGTGTACATGCTGCACACGTGTAGCACATGTATGTGTGTTGTGTGTGTGTAACACATGTATGTGTCCTTGTACATCGTGTGCATACATACATGTCACATGCATATAGTGTCTGTGTACAAGGCATCGGTATATGTAGAGTTTGTGTACACACGCTGTGTGTATGTGTGCCCCCACGCCATGTGTACACTTATAACGTGCACGTGTACACGTGTGTCGTTGTTAGGTGCCGTCGAGTCCGTTCTCATAGCGACCCCCTGCACAACAGAACGAAACACTGCCCGTCCTGCGCCATCCTCACAATTGTGCTTGAGCCCATTGTTGCGGCCACTGTGTCAGTCCATCTCCCTGAGGGTCTTCCTCTTTCTCGCTGACCCTCTACTTTACCAAGCATGACGTCCTTCTCCAGGGACTGGTCCCTCCTGATAACATGTCCAAAGTATGTGAGATGAAGTCTGGCCATCCTCACTTCTAATGAGCCTTCTGGCTGTACTTCATCCGAGGCACACTTGTTGGTTCTTCGGGCAGTCCATGGGATATTCAATATTCTTCGCCAACACCACAATTCAAAGGCGTCAATTCTTCTCCAGTCTTCCTTATTATTTGTCCAGCTGTCACATGCATAGGAGGCGACTGAAAACACCATGGCTTGGGTCAGGTGCCCCTTAGTCCTTAAAGTGACATCATGCTTTTTTTTTTTTTTTTTTTAACACTTAAAGAGATCTTTTGCAGCAGATTTGCCAAACGCAATGCATTGATTTCCTGACTGCTGCTTCCAGGGGTGTTGATTGTGGGTCCAGGTAAAACGAAATCCTTGACAACTTCAATCTTTTCTCCATTTATCATGATGTCACTTACTGGTCCAGTTGTGAGGATTTTTGTTTATGTTGAGGTGTAATCTATACTGAAGGCTGTGGTCTTTGAGTCCTCTTCACCTTCAGCAAGCAAGGTTGTGTCATCTGCATAACGCAGGTTGTTACTGAGTCTTCCTCCAATCCTGATGTCCTGTTCTTCATATAGTCCAGCTTCTCGATTATCTGCTCAACATACAGATTAACCAAGTGTGGTGGAAGGATACACCCCTGATGCACACCTTTCCTGACTTTAAACCACACTATATCCCCTTGTTCTGTTCAAACGACTGCCTCGTGGTCTATGCCCAGGTTCCTCATGAGCACAGCTAAGTGTTCTGGAATTCCCGTTCTTCGCAGTGGGGTCCGTAGTTTGTTATGATCCACACAGTCGAATGCCTTTGCAGTCACGTGTCTTATACGTATGAATATAGCACGTGTATGCGTGTCACAGGTATACATATAGCATGTGTCTGTATACGTGTGTTGTGTGTATATGTATAACACGTCTGTGTATACATGTGCGTACACATATAGCTTGTGTCTTGTACGTGTCATGTATATACATGTGTCTGTACACGCGTTATGTGTACACACAGCACGGACCTGCGTACACGTGTGTTGGCGTATGTATGGCATACTGTGTACGTGTGCTGTGTATACGTATAACATGTCTGTACGTGTGTCATCAGTGTATGCATAGCACGTGTATGTGCGTGCACGTGTGTGTGGTACACGCAGAGCATGTCATATGTGTATGTACAGCTTGATTCCCTCTGTGGATGGGAGCCCCCTATCTGCTGAGCCAGCCCTTCCTGTCCCGTCCACCATCCTTGGATGAGGACCATCTCCTGACCCCAGCCACCACCCAGTGGTGTGGTTCCTGTCTGGACACCTGCGGATGGGCTGACCCACCTGGCTGTCCTCAAATAGTCCCTGGGAGTGGGTCAGAGAGGCCTGGGTCCCTCCTGGGAGCAGGCCCCTCACTGGGCACATCCTCAGGGAGCAGATTGTGCCCTGTGCTGGCCTAGGCAAGCTGGGGACCACCTCGTCTCCCAGCCCCCATGTCCTGTGGGTGGGTGGCCTGAGTGGACCGAACCTCGTCTGTCCCCCAGGGCATCCTCGGCTCCGGGTTCGCCCTGAAGGTCCAGCAGAAGCAGCGGCAGAAACACTTCAACCGGCAGATCCCGGCGGCCGCCTCACTCATCCAGGTGCAACCGCCCCGCAGGCTGTCCTCCCGTTGTGAAGGGATCTCTGCCCATTGGGGTGGAAGCAAGCTAGTGCCGGCTCCGGGATCCCGAACCACTCCCAGCAGGAGGGTGGGCAGCTCAGCTCTGGGCCCCCGGACTCTGGGATGTGGAAGAGCAGACGCCCCGGCTGGTCTGCATCTCTGCTTGTGGGAGGTGGGCGCAGCAGTGAGCGGGGATGCCCTGCACCCCAGAAGACCCCCCTGAGGGTCATGACCAGTGGTGAGGTGGGAACCCTGTGACTTCAGTGGGCCCTTGCCCCCCTTGCTTCAGCAGCTGCAGCTCTGCGCAGGGGGTGAGTGTGGGAGGGAAGAGGTGAGGGGCCCGGAGCCGTGGGCAGCAAGGCCAGCTAGTGAGCGGGAAGAGGCCGCGGATGGCCGAAGTGGGGTGCAGACACCCCACCACTCGGGGGGGAGGGCTGGCACGCGGTGCCCGCTGTCCTGCCAGGAGGGGCACTGACCAGGGCCGCAGCCCCCCGCCGGCTCCCTCGCCTCCTGGAACGCTGTACTGACGCGGCCACCTTTGCCCGACCCCAGACCGCGTGGAGGTGCTACGCGGCTGAGAACCCCGGGTCCTCCACCTGGAAGATCTACGTGCGCAAGCCCGCCCGCAGCCATGCCCTGGTCTCCCCCAGCCCCAAGCCCAAGAAGTCCGTCATGGTAACTGCCTGCCCAGGACGGGGGCGGGGCAGAGAAGGTGCCTGGGGCCAGCAGGGTGGGGCTGGACTCTGGCCACGTGTCTGGAGCAGCCTGGGTGGTAGCTTCCCACATGGGCATGGAGGTGGGGATAGCGGGGGAGCTGGCTCACGGAGGGCTCTGAAGTCACAGAGCTGGGGTGCCAGGTGACCGCCAGGGTGGGCAGTCAAACGGTTTGGCTGGAGGGTGAATGAAGCGTGGGGACTCTGGGAGGGCTCCTCTTCCTGCCCACACCCATGTTGGAGGGACCCGGGTCTCCTGGTGTCCAGCTGCCTCCAGGGCCTCTGCTGGAACATCCTCCCAGATGCCCGCAGGGCCTGCATCCACTCCCCCTCCCATGCTCTGGTCCCCACCTGCCCTGTTTGTCCTTGGGCTTTCTGCCTCCCCCTGCGGGGCCGGGACCCTCGGGACCCCACACAATGCCTGGATGCACACTTCACCAGGGGCAGGGAGGGCGGAGAGCCTGGCCAGAATGCCTAGGGGCCCGTCTGCCATGTGGTTTCAGGTCAAGAAAAAGAAATTCAAGCTGGACCGGGACAGTGGGGTGGGCCCTGGGGAGAAGATGCTCACGGTCCCGCACATCACCTGCGACCCAGCCGGGGAGGATCGCAGGGCTGACGGCCTGTCCCTCGATGGCTTCGACAGCACTGGTGAGCCGCCCAGCCGCACAGGCGCGTGCTTTGCCGGGTGGAGGGGGCCCGGGGCTGGGGCCTAAGCCCCAAGAGCATGAAGGGACCCCACTTCTCCTTGGGGTTGGGGGACAATGATCTCAGGTGACAGAGATCGGTAGTTGTCTGGAATTCAGCTCTGTGAGGTCTAGACTTCCTCTTCCCTCGGCTGGATGTGCCGGCTGAAATCCCTGCACTGCTGCCAGGTCTGAGGTAGCCCTCATCTTCCTGGGAGAAAACACAGCAAACTGTCTGTCCACTGTGTCTTGGGCGCAGGTGGACCACGGCTCGGCTCCTGGCTCCATCCGCAGCCCCGCCTGCTGGGCCTGCCTCCTCCGAGGGGCAAAGACGGGGTGGGGGGGTGTTCTGTGTTTTGATGCAAAGACCAGTTGCCAGAGTCCACTCTGAATCCTGGTGACCTCGTGTGCGTCAGAGGAGAACCGAGCTCCATGGGGTTTTCAGTGGTTGGTGTTTCAGAGGCAGATGGCTAGGCCTTTCTGCTGAGCCACCTCCGGGTGGACTTGAACCGCCAGCCTCCCAGTGAGCAGCAGCGCATGTTCACTGTTTGGGTTGCTGGGGGCTCACAGCAAAGACACTGCGGGAGCCACCCTAGTGGCGGGGAGGCTCTGTCGCCGTGTGCAGGACCCTCACCAGCACACCTGCCTGGCATCAGAGGGGAGTCTTTGTGGGAAACGTGGCATCCAGCCCCCGAGGGGAGGATAGTCGTTGCCGTGGTCCCAGGGACGGGACAGCCCTTGTCTCCGGACAGAGGCTGCAGGCTCAGGCTGAGGGTGCAGGGGCTGGGGGAGCACTTCTTTTGGGAACACTAGTCAGGGTGAGGCCCCAGGGTTTCAGACAGGGCCCCGTTCAGTGCCCCACTTGTCCCGACGGGCCATGGGCATTCCCGAGGCCCTGCACTGGTCCTTGCTGCCCTTGTTTCTGCCCATCCAAGAGCCACGTCTCCTTCCACCTGTGGCTCTGGATGTGGGTCTCTGAGGGGCCGCAGAGGCAGCTGGCTGTCTGGTCTGCAGGCCTGAGAGGCCTGGGGGAGCTGTGTACCGCATTATCACCCCAGGACTCCGGGTGTAACAAGGAAGGCCAAGGCCAAGTTAAAGGTGGTTAGGGAAGGGGTAAGAAGAGGGGTTGGTAATTTCCATTTCATTTTCAACATGAAGGGTTTGAGACAAAGCACAGAGAATAAGGAAACCCTGGTGGCACGGTGGTTAAGAGCTACGGCTGCTAACCAAAAGGCCGGCAGTTCGAATCCACCAGGCACTCCTTGGAAACCCTATGGGGCCGTTCTACACTGTCCTATAGGGTCACTGTGAGTTGGAATCAACTCAACGGCAATGGGTTTGGTTTTTTTGGTTATAGAGAATAACCAGTCAGAAGCCCCGTCCCCCCACTCTGCCAGAGGCACGGGTTGGGAGTTGGTCGTTCCGCTTGTATGTTTATGCTCTTGTGATGTATGTGACCATGCAGCCTAGACTCTCCTTGCACGCCTGTGAGCCTGACTCACGTGCAGTCACGCCAGGGTAGCTCGCTGTGTGCGCCTAGCCAAACGTGCAGTGCCGCCTTTTCACCTTTTCAGCGTTTCGCAGTGATGTATTCTGATTCTGAGCTTTCAGTGGCTCCCGAGGGATTCTGTCCTGAATGCTTCGCCTACTGTTGCCCCCCACGCCCTCACCCCGTTTCACGGACCATTGTCACCCAGACTTTTGGTTTTCCCTTTTTAAACAAATCTGAATTAGTCATTGTCATCGTGTTCCCTGTATACAGTCAAGACTTGTTTATCTTCACCCACAGATTTGCTACTTTTCTTGTCTTACTGTTCTGTTTTGTTCATCACTCCTTCCTTTGGATTTAATTTCCTTCTTCCTGAAGTCTGAGTTTCCTTCAGTGACATCTGGTGATGTGAACTCTCAGTTGTCTGAATGTTTTTTATTTTACCTTCATTCTTGAATGGTGGTTTAGTTGGAGGAAAAGTTGTAAGTTGACACACTACTACTGTCTCCTGGCTTCCTTGGATTGTCAAGCTAATTGACATTCCTTTGTAGTTGATCCTCCCCTCTCTGGTGACTTTGGATACCTTCTCTTTGACTTTGGTGTTTGGCAGTTTCACTCAGGGCTTCAAAGTGGTTCATTCTGGTTTGAACCCCTGCTGAGAATTTGCATTTCTAACAAGTTCCCTGAGGAGAATTTGCATTTCCACTCCAGATATACAGAATCAGAACCTATATTTTAATAGGATCCCCAAGCGATTCTTATGTATAACTTCCTGAGAACTTGTTAGAAATGCAAATTCTCAGCAGGGGTTTGAACTGGAGCAAACTGGCTCGAAGCCCTGGTTTCACTACAGTGTGTCTAGGTGGTGGATTATTTTTATTTATCCTACCCAGAATTTGTTGTTTCTTGAATCTGAGAGCCTACGTCTTTCATCAAGTGTGGAAAATCAGCACCATTGTGTTGTAGAATGTTGCATTTCTTAATCTCTCTGATCTCTCCTGGAAACTTCCATCTGGCCACCTCATTCTGTCCTCCTTGCCTGTCTTTCATACTGTCCATCTCTGTGCTGCATCCTAGGCAATGTCTTTCTAGTCCACCAACATCCAGGTATGGCTTCTTGAGTGGGCACAGAGGTGTGGCAGGGCAGGAGAGGCTGGACCTGGGCTCCTTCGGCAACTGTGAACTCCTGGATCAGAACCTTCTCATCAGCCCTCCACTGAGCGTCTCAGTTCTGTCCCCTACTCTCTGCCCCCACAGCTTCACTGCCTTTTGTGATAATACTACCATTTCCTTCTCACTTCCACTTCTGTCCTTCAGTCTGCTTCTTCCTAGTCCATTCTGCATGACCAGTGAGTAGGTTAACGAGTGTATCTACCTGTGATGGAGGTCCTGGCAGGTCATGGCCCTGCCTAGAATCCTCCAGGGATTGCTCATTCCCTCCAGGCCTCTGTCAAGAAGCCTCGGCCAGACCCATGATAACCTGGCCCTGCCTCGTCTTTGCAGCCCTGCCACCTTGACCATAGGAAGCACTCCCTGTCCTCGTCACAGCTATGCTTTTCAGCTGGGCACCCCCGACGGTCTTCCCACAACTGCCTGTCTCTTCATGGTGAAAAGATGTCCACTCTCAAATTTCAAGAGGAATTTTTTCCTGATCAGAAAAATGGTATATGCTCATTATAGAGCATATGAAAAATACAGAAGAGAATAACGAAGAAAGAACAGTCTCCTATTGTTTTATCACCCGGAGACAGCAGCTGTTAGGATTTTGGCATATGTCCCCCCGCCTAGTTCTGACGAATATACACATCTGAGCTGCTTCCACACAGACTATTCAGTTTGACTTCTGTTTTTTTTTCCACTTGTAACGTGATCATTACCATTTATCATTTAAAATTCTTTTTAAATGGATTTTTTTGTCTGTGTGTTTAGGCAAATATTTCATTTTCTTGATTTACTGCATTAGAGAGAATCTGCGGAACGATCTGGAAAACCAACGAGAATGCACGTGGAGGGCTTTCCTGGTATGTTTCTGTGAAAGAAGAAAGGAAATAATAAAGATCAGAGTGGGAAGTATGACATAGAATTCAGAAAAACAAGTTTAAGAAATCAGAGGAACCAAAATCTGATTTTTCTAACTTTTTTTTATGGAGGTACAATTCAAAAGCTGGTTTATGAGATCAATAAAACTGATAAACCTCTACGCAGACAGATGAGGGAAAAGAGAGAGAAGATACAAATTGCCTGTGTCAGGAACGAGAAATGTGACACCAGAGCAGATTGCTCAGGTATTAAAAGGTCAATAAGGAAATGTTACCGATAAATTCAACAGCTTAGATGAAGTGGGAAAATTTACTGAAAGACACAAACTATCCAAGAAATAGATAACTTGAATAGCCCTATAGGTGTTAGTGGCATTGAAGTTGTACTTAAAAACATCTCCTCCAATGAACACTCCAGGACCTTATGGCTTTCCTGGTGAATTCTACCAAACATTTAAGGAAAAAAATAAAATAAATTCTAGACAACATCTTCCAGAAAAATTAAAAGGAGGGAATACTTCCAAACACATTCTGAAGCCAGCATTACCCTGATATGAAAACCAACCAAAGACAGTACAAAAAAAGAAAGGTACAGATAACTATGCCCCATGAACACAGGTGCAAATAGTCTAAGCAGAATTTCAGCAAATCCAATCCGAGAATATATTAAAGGAATAATATATCATGACTGAGTAGGGTTCAGGAATGCAAGGTTGGGTTAACATTTACAAAAATAAATCAATGTAGTTAACCCTATTAACAACAATAACAAATACAAACCATATGACCATCTCAAGAGATGCAAAAAAAAGCATTTGAAAACACCCAAGAGCCATAAATTATAAAAGCCCTCAGAAACCTGATAAAGATTATCTACAAAAGATCTATAGCTAATATCATATTTAGTGATGGAAGACTGGCTGCTTTCACCTTAAGATCAGGAACATGCCAAGGATGTCCACTCTCACCATTTCTGTTCACCATTGTGGTGGGGATGCTAGCTAGTGGAATAAGGCAAGAAAAGGAAAATTATAGGCATCCAGATTGGAATAGAAGGGGTAAAATTGTCCTTAGTTGCAGATGACATGATGAATCATGTAAAAATCTGATGGAATATACAAGATTACCACTAGAACTAATGTGAGTTTAACAAGGTTGGAGATACAATAGGCATATATCAATTGTATTTCTATATAGGAGCAAATAATGAGCAATCAAAATTAAAAATACCATTTCCGGTAGCATCAAAAAATACGAAATACCTAGAGATTAATCCAACAAAAGATGTGAAAGACTGTATACTGAAAGCTACAAACACTGCTGAGAGAAATGAAAGAAAATGAAAATAGAGATTATACACGATGTTCGTGAATCACAAGACTCAATACCGAGCACTCACTTTGGTGCAATACCATCAAAATCCCGGCAATTGACAAG